AGGGTTTTTCTTTGGAAATCTGCCTGTCTCTGCCTCTGCAGCAATTCCTACCGGCGTGCGCCGGCTTCTCTATTTTCTCTCTCAATCTTACGTATATTTTTAAACACCCTGTAAACCTTTAGAGGTTTTTCTTCATCCAAGTCTGACTTTACTGTAAATCTTTACGTTTTTCTGGACACGTGTCTTATCTGTAAAACTGCGGCTGTTTAAACTGCCGTATTTTCCAAGATGGCGGGCGTAAGCGTGCCTCCAGCTTACCGCCTCAGTCCATGCTGACATCCAGCAAAAGCTGCCACTTCCAGCTGTATGTACATACCTTTTAATCGTTAGCAGAGTCTCTTAAAACAACCTTGCTGGTTTTTTTTTTCTTTTTATGCCAAGTCAGGAAGACTCCAGTAAGGGAGCCGCATGAATCTTGGCTTGTCGCTAGCAAAATAGAGACCACCTGAGAAAAATGCTGCTATCAAAACATCTGTGCTTCTCTCCGTTCTTCTGTTTCTAAAATTCCTTTAAAGCTTTTGTCATTCTACGTGGAAATTCAATCCTGCTCTGACACCATTCTGTAATGGGAAGCTTTTTTCTTGAGAGGAAGCCTTCCCGCCAGCCTGGTTCTAGAGCCGCATCAAGACCGGGTTGGTGAAACCCACAGAAACAGCTGACCTGAACAAGGAGGAGCTCATGGACCCCAGACTGATGACTGGGAGGCCAGCATGGGACTGATCCAGACCCCTGAACGTGGGTGTCAGTGAAGAGGCCTCAGCAATCTGTGGGACCTCGGGTACTAGTGATCAGTATTTATTCCTGGCATACAAATGGACTTTGAGAGCCTATTCTACGAGGCATGCTCTCTCAGCCTGGACATAAGCGGGAGGGCCTAGGCCCTGACAGGGATGATATGACAGACTTTGGAGATCTCCCATGGAGTGCCTCACCCTCCCTGGGGAGCAGAGGGGGATGGGTGGGAGTTGGGGTTGGTGAGAGGTTTAGGAGGAGGGGAGGGAGAGGGAGCTGGGATTGACATGTGAAGCAAGCTTGTTTCTAATTTAAATTTAAAAACTATTATTTCAAGAAAAAAAGACAAAAAGGAGGGATGACATACCAATGGTCTCATAGCATGTACTAAAGTTTGTAGGCTTTAACTCTATTCACAAAAAGGTGAAGAAGAAGAAGAAGAAGAAGAAGAAGAAGAAGAAGAAGAAGAAGAAGAAGAAGAAGAAGAAGAAGAAGAAGAAGAAAGACTTACTGTAATATATGGAAAATGGTTGGATTTGCATTTTAAAAATCATTAATTAAAGATTACTTTAAGATTAAAAAAAAACAAATTCACTGGCTGAAGCTATGCCACAACAAAAGGTAACACCAGGCCAACAACCAATGGATCAAACCAGTATTTTGCAAACAGTTCAGTGTCTCTTTTGTCTATTATTAAAGGGCAGAGAAACAGGAGAAAGATACTAGACAAAGAAAACTCAGTCTTAAAATTCCACCTCGAAAAGCAAAGAAAACCTCTCATTCACAGGTGTTTCCAATCATAGTATGTCATACTTCAGAAAATAAGATGAAGTTGAGATGCAAGAAGAAGAAAATAGTGAATCAAAGGAAAATAATGTCAGATATAGTGCTGCATCTTATTTCTGTCTCTAGGCTTATCATTCCCCATGTTAAAAATTATTTCTTAAAAAGTCTAATAACAGTCATTCCAGAATTAATAAAACATGAACATTTTCTGCAGGAGCAAAGTAAGTCATTAGATAATGAGAAAATCAATTATACAAGTTCTACAGATAAGGTTGGGCAATATTGAAAACATAGAACACTTGTTCATGGTCAGTACTCATGAACTGCCATTTCCTTATTCAATGTTTGAAATAAACAGTAAGGAGTCTAGTGAAGACTCGGTTCAGCAGACATTTGACCTGAACATTATAAAGCAGGAGGGGCTTTCATCAGACTCTGCACAAGAAGATGTTTCATTTCCCCAAATAGAATCAGACAGAGGAATGAAAATACAGAAGGACATACAAAGTATAGGGAAGGCAGAGGAGTTAACAGTCAGTATACCACAGATATAAAGGTGCTTTTCAAGAGAAGGTGTAGAGAATGCCAAAAATTCAGTGGAAATTGTTCTGAACTTTCCAGGTATCAATTTGCTTATTTCCCTAAGATCCCAAAAACATGACAAAAGTGAATTGAAAGACATAAATGTTCAAGTGATTACAGAAAGCATAAATCTGAAGGAAGAACAGCTACTATTACAGAATATGGTAACCCAAGTGATAGTGGGAAGCTGGAATGGAACCCTAGAAGCAATAAAAAAAAATAGACATCAAGATGAAAGGATGTCAGATCCCCATCATAATATCATGCAGGCTACCATTTCTTAATCCTTTGATATGAAAATATGTAATAAATTAAAAGTCAATGAAGACACACTGACAATAAATTATGTAGCGCCCATATGGGTGGAACACTCCTCAAGGATTCGGGCGAGGGCCTGAGGATTGAAATGAAGACGAAAGACAGCGGCTCATTCTTGCCAGGAGAATGGTGTTTATTGTAATAAGAGTGGAACATTATAGACCTACCAGTCAGCAGGCACAGTGGAAAATTGCCAAGGTCAGAAGCTCACGTTCCCAGGGCCCTCCGGCAATAAGGATGGGCAGATAACAGGAACTTGAATTCAGACAATAAGGACGGGCAGAAGACAGGAACTTGCATACTGGTCTAATTGGAAGGAGGGGAACAGGATATGCTCACTCCTAGTCACAAACTGGTCAGCGGTCCCTATGGGGGAAGGGTCCAACAAAATTGTTGTCACGCTGCACTAAAGCAAAAAGAAACTACTAAATGAAAAGAAAATACAGGAAGTAAAGCATATTGATAAGAGCTCCATACTTAGAAAGCCACAAGAGAGGGACGGTGAGGAAGAAGCAAAAAGTAGAGAAACACTTCAACCTCTGCAGAAGACCAGAGTCGCGTATGACTGAAGCAAAAGTACAAATGGGCCCAATTTGAAATGTGACAGATCTGTCGGAGAAATAGAAAAATTCAAACTAAAGAGAAAGAAGCAGTCACAGAGTAATTCTACACAGATAATCTGGGTGACCAGCCCATGCCCTTTGACAGATCCACTACAAGCTGAAGGAAGTAAAGCAAAGCACAGACAACCTACAGACAGAGAGGAGGCTGCAGGTCCCAAGCACCCACCTTTAAAGCCAGAGAACTCATCTGCTGCTGAGTATTTAATTGAAACAACAGAATATAGGGTCCCATTTTGTGGAAATCCCACACAAACACTGGATGGTCGTATTACAGAAGGCAAAGAAGACTTGAAAAAGGACTTATGTGCAGTGTCAAGCATAAAATTATTAAAGTGAAAAGCCCTGCATTTTCCCTGAGGCTTTCTGTCACTGCATATGACACCCTGAAACGTAGGAGAAAAGTGGAGACAGCTTTGAAATCAACATTAAACAAATGCTGCATGACGTAATGGCACCTGGACTTCTGAATGTTCAGCCTCAGAGGTCTAGCATTCGTAATAATAAAACAGATATCGAGACAACACCCACAAAGCCCCAAGTTGAGAAGAAAGAAGAGCATCCAGATCCCCTTGAGAAAGAAAGGAAAGCTGTGGATCCTCTAGAAGCTCAGCTGTGCCGAGGTGTGAAAGCGGCGGAGCCAGCGCTGCCGGGGACGGTGGCTCATGCTAAGAGGAGCTTTAGATCTGATGCGTGCCCCGTGAAGGGGGTTAAAACGGAGAAGGAAATGTTTCAAGCAATATCTCTCACTGAAGCAATTAGGGAGTGGATTCATTTTGTGTTGCAAACACAAAAAACCAGGACATCTACACAGAACTTCAATATTGTGCAGAATTAGAGTCGGGTCTTCCAGCATCAGGAAAATAACTGATGGGAAACTCTCTGAGCCAACCAAAAGAAAATAATGTTCCAAATAGTGAGAATAATAAGGGGAAATCAGTTGTAATTTACTCAAAAAGCTTTCTTGTGTTCTTTAAATTACTGCATGCCTGTTTTGACTCATTCTCAAAAGAAGACTGAACAAGATTCACAAATATGAGTACAGTGAGATTCAAGTGTATGAATAAGGTGAAACCACCAGCTTCAAAAACATTCAGTATCACAAGCAATAAAAAAAGTCAAAATTGGACCTCAAGACCAAATTAGAAAAAATAAATGAAGCTAAAGCATTTAAAAATAAATTTTATTTAAATTAAAAACAATCTTATTTTATATACCAATCCCAGTTCCCTCTCCCGTCTTCCCATGCCCCCACCAACCCCTCATAGCACCCACCCTCCAAACCCCTGTCCACTCCTCAGGGAGGGTGAGGTCTCCTATGAGGGGTCATCAAAGTCTGTCACATCATTTGGGATAGGACCTAGGCCTTCCTCCCGTGTATCTAGGCTGAGAGAGTATCCCTCCACAGGGAACGGGCTCCCAAAGCCCATTTGTGCACTAGGGATAGATACTGGTTCCACTGCTAGAGGTCCCATAGACTGCCAAGGCCTCCCAACTGACACCCACATTCAGGGGGCCTGGTTCCATCCTCTGCTGGTTCCCCAGTTGTCAGATAGGGGTCCATAAACTTCTACTTGCTCAAGTCAGCTGTCTCTATGGGTTTCACCAGCATGGTCTTGACCCCTGTGCTTTGGAGACTAGTCTATGAATGGCTCTCATTCAAGGGGAAGAATTACAGAAAACTACCAAAACAGAAAATCGCGTAAACTTCCCTGTGATTCCTAAACTTTTATCTCCTGAAGCATGAACCTCTTTACCTGGTGAATTTACAAACATGACATGATTTAGAATCTGATGAAAACTCTGAACATGAATTAGATTTGTATCCTGCAGAAAAGGATTCAGAGACAGCACCAGGTCTGCAGGTGACATTATTGCAGTCTTGTGATTCTGTTACAAGATCCTTTGTTTTAGACCTAAAGGGATGAGAAAAGCACTAAGATCAAAGGAGCAGACAACAGTGAGACAGACACATAGCACTATGAGGGAAATAAAACCATCAGTTTCACAGTCAGTTAACTGCAGGTACAACAAAAACAAAAACAAAGAAATGAAAGATCCACAACAGAGGGGTAACATAGCAGGTGCCCGTTTGGACATCCTTCACTCCAAGGCATATATTTTTTTTCCAACCAAAAAATTAGCAATTCAAAACTATGGACAGATAAACAGAGAATAAGAAGTCTTGATCATACACAATAAATGCAAGAGAAATCACCAGAGGGAAAAAAAACACACACACACTGTCTGGGTTCTACTGATTTGAGTAGTTCTCTAGCCTGAAGAAGTATGAAGAGGAAAGAGAAGAGGAACCAGAACATTTCCTGATCTCAGAAAACAGCCCAGGCCTTATATTTGATATGTATCAAGAAAAAGACCATGACCTAGTTAGATCAGATAAACAACTGAACCAAGCAGGGAGGACAATTACACTCAGGTACAAGCTCAAACACCTACGGAAGTCATTTCCTGTTCTACCCTATTCCCCATCTCAGATGAACTTTAACTAGAAAAGCTAAAGGGCTGTTTCAGTGTTTCCCCTCTAATGGTTGGGGAAGATAAAGACAGTGCACTATCTGAAGGAGGATGCAATCGATCTGACGAAAGACAACACAAGGAACAGGCTGCTGACAGTGAAAGGGAGGCGGAGGAACTGTCAGTCTCATACACTAATCCAAGCCATAGCGGGGAAATAAAATGTGACTCAACCAAAATGAAAGGCATGTATCCAGAGGAAAAGATTGCAGATGAAATACCCTATTTGACAAATGTTGCACTGGATATTAATATGAGCGTCAAGATAGAAATGGAAAAAGCCATGTCCAGCAAAAAATCACCCTGTTCTGTACCAAAGAAGTCAGAGATACTGCTTCATGAGGGGAAGGTTACTTCAGATGACATCAAAGAAATTGATCTTCAATCTAAAGAAGAAAGGGAAAATGATGCTGACACATTATTTAAATCATTCCCACAAGACAGCCAACATTTTGTATTTTGTTCACATCAAAGCAGGGATCCTAACTCTCATGAATTAAGAAAACAAAGAGGGAGGGCCATTCTGTTCACTGTGGAACAGGAAATTCCACAGCCAAGTCAGTCAGCAGGTCTAACACAAAGAGAATGTACCATGTGTACATCAAGTTCAAAGGTTCCTCCCATACAATCACAAGAATCATAAATAGATGAAGTTAACACTGATAGAACAATATATCACGGCGCTGCTGATGGGACTCATGCACAGAAACTGAACAGTTGGAATAGATTGGAAAGAGAAGGGTTTACAAATGATCTACAAGCAACAATCACAGAGTCTTTGAATATCTCAATTCCTGATGTACTGAGATCTAAAAGGAAAAGCAGAGTATCTACATGCAAAGCCTTACAAGGTAGAATGTGTTCAACTGGTATAACTATGAAAGGAAGGAAACCATCTGTCTCAAAGGTACTAACTATTTCACAGTGTGGTCACAGAAAAAAATCTACTTCCAAAAACATTGAAACCACAGATTTCTGAATTACTTATACATTCTGCTGTCTTATCTGATAGTCTTAATATAATAGTATTGAATAATTCATCAACAGAGAAAAATGAAATACTATTAACCCAGGAACTGGCAGCAACAATGTTAGAGCCTTTGGGTTTCTCCACACCTATGTCAAAAGAGAGAGAGAATTTAAAACTCATGGACAAGGGAAATGAAATGAGTAACAATAGTCTATCTGTCAAAACGAGGAAGGCAGCAATCTCCCAGACACTTATTACTGCAGGATGTGGAGCACCAAAACAAGGTGAACACATGGAAGGTTCGTCCCTAAATGCCATCTTCTCTCCTATGCCTGTGTTTCTAGATCTGAACACATGTGGTGGAAGACAAGATAGGGGTATGATATGGACAGTGAGATTTAGTCCTGAGCTTCATGACCAGTCAGAACACAAAGAGAGAGATTGGTGCACAAACTACACAGACAAGGACACAGCCTCAAATGGCACCAAAGATGTAATAGGTCAAAGTGGTGAAGAGGGCCCACTGACTTTCCAGCACTTCAGTATGGCAGGGCCTAATTCTGTGCAATCTGGTTTACAGCTGGTTAATTCAGCAACTTATCCAGAGCTAGAGAGAACTCTAGCACAGCCAGCCAATGTGAATAATCTACAAAGTATCATGGTGGGTGTAATGTCTCATCTTCTAAATATGGAGGACTCTGAGATTAGATCCATACCATGTAATGACACCTAGGATGAAAATCCTAGGATAAAACGTGACTACCCCATTTCTAAACAAAAAGCATGGACTTTAAAGGACTTAACATCTTTGCAACCTATACAGGAGCCCACCCTGTGTCATCTGAAACCAAATGTGAGAGCTGCACGTTAGAGTTTCCAGGAAAAAGAGATATGAGTCTAAAGGAAGACAAGCTTCAAGGCTGCTTAATATTGCAAGGCATTATATGAGAGTCCATCGAAAGAAAAGTCACCATAATAGTAAACACCAGATGGAAAAGGCTGAATGTGTGGAAGAGGCGCTGCTTTATGCCACTGAAGATGCTGAGAGTTGTCTACTCAAATTCATAACTGATGAACTGTTACTTGACACAGCAGCAAGGACTGCTTTTTCTAGCAGAATACCTCAAAGATCAATGGCAGAGGAAAAGTCAGAGTTCCACGCAAACTTAGCCACAACTTTCTTGGGACCTTACAATTTTTTTATATCTGTTTTATCTGATTTAAGCCAGGTAAACACAGTAAAACTATCCAAAAATGAAGTTGGGAGGCCAGGGCAGTCTATGGGGCCTCTGAGAGTGGAAGTAGTATTTATCCCTAGTGCACAGACTTTGGGAGCCCATTCCCTATAGAGGGCATACTCTCTCAGCCTAGATATATGAGGGAGGGCCTAGGCCCTGCCCCAAATGATGTGATAGACTTTGAATATTCCCCATGGGAGGCCTTACCCTCCCTGGGGAATAGGATGGAGGCTTGGTGTAGGGCATGTGAGGACAGGAAAGACAGGGAACTGATATTGTAAAATAAGATTGTTTTTAATTTAAATAAAAAGAAATTATGGTTAAAAAAGAGATTTTCAACTATGAAGAAATAGAAGCTATCAATTTCAAAGATAATTATTGCAGACCACAAGAAGAAATTTAAACTAAGAGCCAAAAAGAAAACATAACTGATGTACTTCTAAACACTATTCCCTTCATATTAACTAACTAATGGGGGAAGTACATTTAAAACAGAGGTAGGCTTGAGAGTATCAAAGTTTACCCATACACAGCCAACATATGGGGAGTCATCAGTTAAAGACACAACAGAGTATGATGATTCTTTTGATAAAGGTGGGTCCCACTTTTTAAAGGAAGCTAAACTACATTTTGGGCAATGCTGAGGAGAGACACAAGAACTGGTAATAGAATCTGGTCCATTTTGTACAAAAAACTCAACAGTAAATGCACATCTCATAAAGTAACCCAGTCTTGGGGAGTCAGAAGGAATGCTTTTAAGATAATATTTACCTCAAAGAAGTCAAATTTGTGAGGCTCATCCAGAAATTAATGTAAAAATAGAACACAACAGTACACAAGTAAGCCTGAAAGATGCACTTTCAAACACGGAGAAGCCCTACAGATTCTCAGAAGCCAGTGAACAGTAACACTACCAAACATGGAGTAAAGAAAACTGGCCATTCTTAAAAAAAAGTCTTCATTTTATTTGACAGGAATTGTCACTTCTATCGCCAGGCATTTAGTTGCTTCCAAAGAATTTAGAAAGCATATTGGTAGTAGGAGAGCAGCTGACCAGTCAACTCATAAAGGTATATTTCATAGATGATGAAGGAGTCAACAGATTTGCAGTCACCTCATGATGGAGACCATGCTGCTGTAAACATAAATGAGACATGGGATTTTAGAACCTTAGAAATAAAAGTAGATAATGGTGAGGTAAATACAGATATGTCTATATATCTATGCCAATTCAACATATAAAGACAGAGACATCACATGACATGCGGGATATGTATGAGAAGTCTGCGAAAGAAAATCGACAAAGCAAAAGTGAAGAGGAAAAAAGAGTTTAGACAGCTGCCATTTGGAGCAGATCAAAGGAGGCCACCTAATCCTTCCAAATCAGAAGGACTTTCTAACAACACAGCGCACTGCAAGGATATCATGCTCCAGAAAACAGCTATTTGTTTAGTAGATCAAGAAGGAAATGCAAAAGTTGGAGTTTAGCCAAGGGGTTGTTCTTTCCTCTAAAATACATACTCTTCAAATCGAAAGGCAGAACAATGAGTTTTAAACAGGTTGGAAAACAAAGTCCAAGTCTTTTGCCCATCCAAAGAAATGGAAAAGCCTATTATCTCGGGACCTACATGGAGTTCTTCTGCCAGTGACACTATCTATCCTGAAACTATAAGACAGAAAGATAAGGCAAAAATATCACATGTGAAAAGTACTGTGTGTGCCAAACAAATAAATCTGAAGGCAAAGAAAATACCGGTTCCTCTACTTCTTGGACATAGGGACAGAAGCAATAAAAAAAGAACTGAACGTAGCATGCAGCACAAGAATACATTAGAGCTGAGGAGAAATATAAAAAAAAACTGGTTCTAAAAGCTAATTTTGACTTTATATTACCAGTGTACGGTGGTGGTGCACACCTTTAATCCCAGCCCTTGGGAGGCAGAGGCAGGAGGATGTCTGTGAGTTTGAGACCAGCCTGGTCTACTGAGAGAGTTCCAGAACAGGCTCCAAAGCAATACAGAGAAACCCTTTCTTGAAAAAAAAAAATCTTACCAGTGTAAAAACTGGAGAAAGGCAAGTTGAAGGAGACAAAAAACATTCTTCCATAAATAATTCTGGCAAATCATCCAACCAAAGGCAAGCGTCATGATTAGGGTGTGTTGGTTTACCTAGGAAACTAGAAGAAAATATTAAAGAGACACATGATCACTATACTTTCAAGGACATTCACCAGCAATTTACACAAGGATTTTGGGTTAAGTCAGAAGAAATTAAAGAGCATCACTCTTGCAAATTAGAAAATTTACAAAGATGAACTCTGAGTTAATTTCACAGAAAGATAAAACTGATAACCTTGGGTAGCTACCTCAAGAAGTAGAGGAGGAATAAAAGTCTCCATTAACCCACAGACAGCCTGCAACAGGAATATCCCCTAAAGCAAGGGATGTGGAGAACCAGGAATGATTCTTCAGACTATGAAGGGATTTCATCATCCTGGAATGACAAATGAATTTATAACAACAAAAAAAGACATCAAACCATCAAGTTCAGAGAATAGGAGGACTGAAAATAATGGATGACCCATTAGTCCAAAGGAATCGTTGTCTATCCCCAGGCTAATGGTACAGCAACAAAATCTTTTCACAGATCTTTTGGGATCCATTCCCTCTCATGTACCATACCAACCTCATACTGAAGAGCAAAAGGAAAGCATGAAAATAAGTGACAAAATCTCAAAGAATTCAACTCAACAGCTGAAGAAAGTCTCAAATGCGGAATATATTTCAGATATGGATCACATTCCTAGAAGTATTGAAAAACTATTCTTGCTTGTTAAAGAACAGGAAAAGAGGAGAAAAAAGTAGAGCGGGTAAAACAATTGAAATAGTGGAAGGCATAAAATTAAGAATCCCATTTCGTTTCTAAATTATTCACTATCTGGAACACAGTTTATCAACACAATAAAGAGATGGGACAGAGGCAAACAGGAGTGTGGCCACATTGTGGAGACAGCAGCAGTTGTGTGTACAAGGGACAAGCATAGACTGTGTTTACACACATGAGCTCACTTTTAAAGTTATACGTCACAACAAAAGGAGAACAACTTTCATGGAAAGTGTCCCGTATCACAGAAGGATAAAAAGGAAAGTGAGGAAGATAGGATATAGAGCCCACAGCTATAGAAAGGAACTAAGACATTAAGAAACAGAAGGAGCTATCCCATGGAAACACTATGGCAGATTTACTTTGGAAGGGTTTTTGTGCTCCTGGCTACATTGCATCTCAAACTAAAAATCTTACAGGAGTAAAAGAGGGGAAAAGAAAACCATGGGAAGGCTATATATTCCTCTACTGCTGAAGCTGAAGAAAACATTGAATGAAGCTAAAAGGTTATCTGTGCAGTCTACTGACAACAATTCAAGCACTATCAGAAAA